TATTTTTTCTCTAGTCATTAGATTCATGTGTTATTAATGTAAATCATGTATATCAAATTTGTAGTTAATTAAAAAAGTCTAATAATTGTTTGATATAATAAATTTTCAACTATTAATTGCACATAAAATTATAAAAAGATGTAAACTAATTAGTTTTATATCAGTGTAACTTGGTTCCTCCTATGTATATCCTTAAGTTATAGTGTGTTTGTATTTTTATTTTTATTTTCTTTTGTTTTTAAATAAATGTAGGAAAATAAAATGTATTTTTAATATTTAGTTACTGAAAAAGTAAAAGAAAAAATTGAGAATATAAAAAATGAGTAAAGACCCACTTACATTAGTGTAAGTTATATATATTTTTTAATTTTTGGATCAAAATTAAATTCATAACTAATTTAAATTAAAATAATATTTTTAATCTTAACTATTTGATTTAAGAATAAAAAAGAGTATAAAACTTACTGTAATAAAAGTATCCTCATAAAATGTAATCTCTTAATTTCTTTCTTCATTTGACTAAAATAATCACAAGGAAAAGTTTTAAAAACCTTTTGAGGTTCTAGTTGTTCCATTATCATGAATTATGGATAATTTTATGTTAATTTTTTTCTATTATATGCTGGTTTCAAGTATGACTTTAGGATTTATACTAAGGGGAAATTAACTTAATAATTTTCATTTTGTAATTTCACATAAAACTATAATTTAAACAACTTTGTTTTTTATGAAAAAACAAATTCCGTTAAAACACATAATATTCAATTCTTCATGCAAAACCAAATATAAAAAATAATCCAAACAAACAATGTTAACAAAAAATTATATAAAAAAAGTCATCTTCCAAACAAAAATAGCCCTTTCTATAATTTTTTTTTTTAACACTTCATAATTTAAAATCAGTGTAGAATTTATTTCTATTAATACAAAATTAAAGGGAACAAGTTAACTTTACTTCTAACAGAGATAGTTGGGCTACTAATCCAAGCCTATGGGCTGGCCCACTTTGGGTTTGATTTGGGCATAAATCGGCACTTGAATGTTTTTTTTTTTTGCTTTATTTGTCTGTCACTTTAGTTTGGGACATATACTTTAAATATAATTTTTTAAATGAGCAAGGCAATTTATAAAATTTATTTGTCTTTGTATTGCATGTAACACTATACAATACTTTATTATTGAATGCATTTAAAATTTTTGTTTTTAATGGTTCAAAAATTTTTAATGATTGATCAAACACATATCTCCTTATATATTTTATATACTACTCACTATTTCACATAATTAATACTTAATACTCCTTGCGTTTCATTTTTTTATCTATTTTTTTTGTGTTCCAAAGTTGTGTACATTTTTCTTAAGACATAAATCTATTATATTTTATATTATAAAATTATTTTTTATAATTTTTTTGGTTTTTAACATTAAAAATTATAAAATGTTAAATTTATTAAAAATTTAATATGATATACGACAAAATAAAAAATTTTCACATTAACTCGGTAGAAATTAATATGAGGCAGAAAGAGTAATATATAATAAATCAGCATTTAATATTGACAAGACCACTAACAGACTGTAGCTGATCCAACAGAAGCAGATCGGTTATTCATAATGGACAAAGTTGGGTTTTGAAAAAGAGTGATGGAGGCTCCACGTTACCAAAATCATAGCCCATTAATTAATTACAAGCTAGAACATTACATTAATTTCTGGGTTGCCAGGAGGCAGCCACTGAAATTTTTATTTAATCCAAAGTAAACGACTACTTGGATAGTTCACTTGATACGTAAATAAAATTAGCGCGACTGCTTCCCAACAACTTGTTGTATGTCCTTAGATGCTTTGACAAAACTGAATGGCCATCCAGCTTCTGGAGTGGTGAGACCCAAACGTAGTTGTGTCCCACAATCATATCTACTAATATCATTGCATAAAGTTACGCACGAATCACAGACTGAAGGACAGAAAATAAGTCTGTAAACCCTATCGGTGAAATCAGGTCTAAATTTCTCAATCTTAAACCAACTGGTCAAAGTTTGAGGACCAGGATCACCTCTAATCCCACCAGTTGTCAGCCACCATTTTCCCGATGAATGGTCATAATTGTCAAGCTTCCACATAGTTGTTGTCCGGCAGTAAGGGTCTATGCTTGGAAGGAACACTATGTTTACATCAGTGGATTGATGGACAACACTATCGTTGGCGTCCACGGGATAAAATACTACCGGCCTGCCAAATTCCATGTCAAGTCCCCTTTGGACAACGAATTTTGGGCATATTTGATTTGGCGACGACCCTAGATCAAGTCCACCACCACCAGCACCCCGAATTGACGACACAACATAGTATTCAACACCTGTGCGGAGCTCGTCACCATCCGTATCAAACACAGGCTCGTTTGCAGCGTTGGCTACTCCAAGGAAACATGATTTTGTTGAGAAGACAAAGAAGAGTAGTAAAACAGCAGCTGCTATGGTCTTCATGGCTCAGTATTTGTTGCTTTGGGTTCTGATTGCTTGGTTTTCTACTCCAATTTATAGAGGTCTCACTTGCTTGAAGCCTGAATATAATGCATGCTTATCACTATCCATGTGTAAGTAATTAAGACTTTCAAATGATGCATTTCAATGTTTCAATGCAGGAGTTTGGACCATTTTTATTTCTTCACGTTTTTCATTGAACTAAGACAAAACTCCATTATTCGCCACTCCCTCTCTCATCTCTCATCTCCCTCTCTCGTTTATTAATTTGGCAGTTCCTAAGCCCTACCACATCTTACAGTGCTACTGCTACGCACATGAAAAACACACGAAAAATGCTTATATATCTCCTTTTTGCCACGGATTAAATGAAATTTTTTAAGAAAAGTTTATGAAGTTATTTTTAAAGATGATTTAATAAAAAAATTTAAATCGATAAATTAATAGAATTAAATGTGAAAATCAATATCATGTAAAGTTATTTAAAGTATTATTTATATTTTAAATTTGATTAGATTTATTCAATCATAAAAATTTTGTCAATGTTTTTTTTGTTTTTACTAAAAATCTTATCTAAAAATATATCTAAATTTATTAAATTTTTTTAAAAAAATTTTATACACTAAATTTATGTAATAAAAAATTTTAATTTATCAATTTTGATTTTGATTTTTAATTTTTATTTAATCGTTCCTAATTAAAAACTTTACAAACTTCATCTAAAATTTTTTATATAAGACTTTCGCTACATTTTTAATTTATCGTAAATCCAGATTAAGAGAGAATAAGAAACACATTAAAGAGATAAACTAGGTAGGTTCTCTCCTCTTCTCACCAACCATGGCTGAAAAAATCTTTAAAATAAGATACAATTATTAAATTCATAACTTCGTTATGTTATCTTTTAATTATGTTTTTCGTACAAATCAGTCTCACTCTACACTTTGAATCGGTGGTGTGCAAAAAATTTTATTTAAGGAGGGCTTAATTTAAATATAATAATAATAATAATAATAATAAATTTTCATATTAACCATAATTGTTAAAAATTTTGTAATTTTACCTAACGTGATTTTATATTTTGAAAACGTTGTACCGTAAATTCGTTATATGTTTTAACATATCTTTTTCAATGTATACAATTAAGTAATCATTCAATTATTGATTTCTAATTTAACTATGTAAACAAATCTTAAAAATGTTAATTACTGAAAATGTTCTGCACACACACTTTATTATTATTTTTTTGGCATAGATATACAATATATTCAAACTTAGCAAAGTTATAATTCATTTACCAATTTCCAACATTTATTTAATATCAATTTATGATGGAAAGGAAAAAATATATGAAAAAAAAAAACTGTTTTCCATTAAATAAGAACAAAAATAAGAGGTAGCCGGTTTCTTGTTTTAAACATATGTTGAAGCCACAAAAATAATTTTATGCATACATCCAAATATCTCATTAATGCTTGATAATGCCTTTTTTTTTTTTTTTGGTAGAATTGGTTTCTAGAGATAACACATTGACAAAAAGTTGGAATAATTTCTCAACACACATAGTTATTAAATCAAATAACAGCGATCCAAATTTTTTTTTTTGTTAGCCTATTCCCCATAGCATATCAATTTTTTTTCTCTACTTTATGTGAGATGCATGTATCTCCTCTATGAAAAGAATCCAACTTTAATGTACACATTACTCTTAATGCTAATTTATATCATTATAATATTCAATAAATGATTGACACATGGATTCTAAAGAGAAAATTGCAAGTAAAAAAGAAGAAAAACCAAAAGATATAATTTCAAAATAAATATAATTTTCCCTACAATAGACTTCCCACTATTTTATTTTGATTGTTATAATTTTCCCTATAATTATGACGCCATGTGCATTGTGACCCTTCGTCAATCTTATCACCAAAATACCTAATTAGATATTGTTGTCATTCTTTTTTTTTTCTCTTAATTCTCACCATAAATTTTAGGAAAACATTAAAAAAATTGGTTGGAGAAAGCATTAAATTGGTTGATTCTAGATAAATCATTATCAAAATAAAAAAAAAAAAGATAAAAAAGCTTGAACAGGAAAAAAAAAAAAAAGAAATGAAAAGATGGGAAGAGGGGCTGCAAACCCACATGACCAAAAAAGGCACAACTTCTTCATATTTGTGGACTAGTTTGTTGGGTGGCAAGGATATATTGCTAAATGGTACGAGATGGAAGATTGGTGATGGGTCGAGAGTGGATATTTAGCAAGACAGATGGGTGAACAAACCACCACACTATAAAGCTAAAGCTCCCAGGGAACATTAGCCTGCACCAATGATGGTAGCTCTCTTAATTGATCAAGGATCACCAAAATGGAGGATTGGGATCTTAGATGATATGTTCTCTTTTGAGGATGCGGAAAGAATAGTAAGCATACCATTGAGTAAACACAGCACTTGAGATACTCTTATCTAGAATGACACACTGCTTGGGAACTTTACTATAAAATTAACCTATTTTCAAGCAAAGAGGGTGCTAGGAAGAAGATGTCTAAACCAAGATCAGCAGCATCTAATATGGAAAATCATATAAATGGCTAAAGTGTTTCCAAAGGTGAAAATTTTCTTATGACGACTTATACATGACTATTTACCAATAAATAGTCAACTAAGCGAAAGAGGTTTGCATTTGGAAAACAAATGTTCAGTATGTGGCAGCTCTGAAGAATCATGGTATCATATTTTTGTTGAATGTTGTCTTAGCAGCAAGGTATGGGAAGAGCTAGACATGACAATTAACTCCATGCCCTATAATAACTTGCCTAAAGATTTATTGATGCAAGTCTTCAACATTTAGCATGGATAGATTCTATGAAAACCTACATGCTGTGCATCTAGTTGTTATGGATGGACAAAAACTTGTGTGTTCACCAAGGAAAATGCTTGCCTTATAGGAACTTGACAGGGTAGGCAAGACTTATAGAAATAAAGATGATAGGAAGGCAAAAAGCTAGTAACTCAAACACCTAGTAGATTTACTAGCATCCCCAAAAATAAGATGTGCTCAAACTAAATGTTGATGCCAAGTTTGTTACTTCCATGAATGAGGTAGGCTTGGAAGCAATGCTTTGGGACTCAAATAGAAATATCATCTTTTCTGCAGTGGCTAGGAAGGCCAAAATAAACTGTCCTTTAATGGCAAAAGTGAATGCAATTAGATGGGGTTTACAAGTGGCTCAAGTTCAAAAGGTGGAGAAAATACTTGTGGAAAGTGACTCCAAATAGCTATATAGGAAATTGTTGATCAGACTAAGTCTTTTATTGCAGAATGAATTTTGATAGAAGACTTCAGGGAGCTAGCTACTGGTTTTCAAAAGTGCTTTTTCAAACATATCAATAGGAAGGCAAATAGTTTAGCACATAATCTTGCAAAGGTTTCTATTTAGTATGGGGAAAAAATGTGTGGTCATGCGAGCTTCCCCCTTTTTGTGTAACCTAAATTTATTACACCATGAATGAATTTAGCTTTTATGCTTAAAAAAGAATTTAATAATTTAGGGAAAGTGATAAAATAATTTAAAAGGATCCAACTTTATGTGAGATAATGTATCTCCTCTATGAAGAGAATCCAACTTTAATGTACACATTACTCTTAATGCTAATTTATATTATTATAGTATTCAATAAATGATTGAGACATGGATTCTAAAAAGACAATTGCAAGTAAAAAAAGGCTAAATCCAAAAGATATAGGCTTCGTATGTTTCATAAAAAATGTTTTCAGATTATGATTTCTGAAAATTGTTTACATTTTAAGGAAAATAGAAATTTTCTATTGCTTGGATGAGTTAATGAAATATATTTTCTATTGTTTGGTTATTTTCTGAAAAATCTATTTTTTATAATATTATAACATTATTTACTAATATATATTATATTAATAGTATATTATTTATTAATAGATTATATTATTATTTATTTTATTTATTATTTATTTAATATAATATTATTTATAAGTAAAATTATGCTTAAATGCATTTATAAGTAGTTCTACTCATATAAAACTCTTTTTAAAAAAATGTCTTTCTTTTTCAAATCTGTAAGGCAATTTAAAAAAAAAAAAAAGCCTTATTTCTATTTACTAGTAGGTCATTTTTCATTGACCAGCCAATTTTCTACCAAATAAATACTTGAAAATGAGACAATAATTTTTTGTAAATCATTTTTCGTTAAACAAATGGAACCATAATTTCATATTTAATATAATTTTCCTTACAATAAACTTTCCATTATTTTATTTTTATTGTTATAATTTTCCCTATAATTGCAACACCATATGCATTATGACCCTTCATCAATTTGATCACCAAAATATCAAATTAGATGTTGTTGTCATTCATTTGTCTTTCCTAATTCTCATTGCAAATTGTAGGAAAGCATTATAAAAATTGGTTAGAAAAAGCATCAAATTGGTTGATTCTAGATAAATCATTATCAAAATTAAAAAATAGAAAGAAAAAAAGCTTGAACAAGAACAAAAAAAAGAAAAGTGAAAAAAAGAAATGAAAAGATGGGAGAAGGTGCTGCAAACCCAGCTAACCAAAAAAGCCCTACTCTTTCATATTTGTGGACTGGTTTGTTAGTTGGTAGGAATATAATGCTAAATGATACAAGATGAAGGATTGGTGATGGGTCGAAAGTGGATATTTGGCAAGACAGATGTGTGAACAAACCACCACATTATAAACGTGAAGCTCATAGGGAACACTAGCCTACACTAATAAGGTGTCTCTTTTAATTGATTAACGATCACCAAAATAGAAGACCGGGATCATAGATGAGATGTTCTTTTTTAAGGATGCAAAAATAATAGTAAGTATACCATTAAGCAAACACAACACTTAAGATACTCTTATATGGAATGACACACTACTTGGGAACTTTATTATAAATTTGGCCTATTTTCAAGTAAGGAGGGTGTTGGAAGAAGGTGTCTAAACCAAGATC